CTGGTTACTACACCGGTCTTGCTCAGTATAATAGAAAAAATATCAAAACCCGGAAGAGGGGCCCGGAAGAGGGTATGCCTGCAAGAGGGCTGGACCTGGAAGAGGGTTCGAACCGTACTTACACGGGCCCATGAGGTTTGACTGGTGTCGGGGAATCAGCCGGCGCCGTCAGATTGATTGGGGACTAAAAAGATGCCCATTAAAAGAAATAGAAGGGGATCGTCCACCGTGGCGCATCCTACATCCCCCTTCTCAGGGAAGACTTGAACGGGGGGTGAGCTAAGGCCTTCCCGGGATGGTAGAAATCAAAGGGCCATTAAAAGACTTAATCACCCAGAAGAGGGGGCCCTAGAAGAAGGGTGCATTTGAACCTTGGAGAGGGTTCGAAACCATTCGACATGGTTAAATCTCCAGTATTCTTACTGGTTAAGAATATTTCAAGAATTACTAGGTTACAGGTGTTTCCATCTACAACCTACCGATAAAAAAAAGAAAAAAAAAAGAAAAAAAAAAGAGAGAGAATACCCCGGTCGGGTATGGGCACAACAGAACTTCGAAAGTTCTACATCCATCGAAAGGCAAGGCAGCAATACCCCGGTCGGGTATGGGCACAACAGAACTTCGAAAGTTCTACATCCATCGAAAGGCAAGGCAGCTGACCGGTCAAACCATGGAGTAGGAACTCACCGGTCAAACTAAACTTTATCAAAGAGTTGGCAAAACTACCCAAAAGGCCAAAGTAAAGGTCGGCCGGTCAAACTTTTTATGATGAAGATGTTCGAAAAGCAAAAAATGGAGTTTAACCGGTCAAAGCTACTCGAGCTACCTTCAGATAAAGTGATCAGGGAGAACTTTGAAGTTCTCCCAGTCAGAAACAAATGAGAAGTGGTCTGATTGGGCTACCGGTCAGGATTTATAAGAAGCAAAAGCAGAGTATAAATCAACAAGCAGGCAGATAAGGAAGATTCACCGGTAAAGAAAACAAACATGGCATTCGAATTTAAAAATGTCAAATGTTTACAAGTACGCCGGGCTTACCCGGGGGAATCTCTACTAAAAGTTTTACAAAGAATAACCGGGCACAGCCGGGGAGATCAGTCAAGGGGGAAGGGGAGTCGGCTCTTCTTCCGGGATAGAGGCCAAGCCGTATGATGCAGCGGTGAAGTCCGGATCTCTTCTGAGCAGTACCCGGTGAGAGGCGATCCTGTCCTTCTTTTGACCGCTCTTGAATCCGAAGGATCCAATCGCGGTTATCATCTTCCTTCCTTCAGGCTCCCGGTAAAGAAGCCTGAAGGACTCCATCGTGGTCTCGGGAGTCGCCGTCATCACCCGGGCAGCTTCAGCTTTGTTCTCTTCCACCCAGGCAGCTGCACGCCCGGGGAAGGTTTCTTCCTTCTCCGCCATCTCCCTCTTGGCTTCAAACACCTCGTCCATCAGCCGGCCATTCTCTTCCTTAAGGTGAGAGATCTCCGCCCTCATCGACCCGGTCAGCCCGGATAGCCTGGCCAACTCATCAGCTTGGCTCTTTAGGATGAGAGCCATCTCCTCCTTCTCTTTCTTCAGCCGGGCAAACTCCGAAGAAGAGCCCAAACCAAGCCGGTCAGCTGAAAGGGGTCCGATCTCCCCCGCCTGCGCGAAAGGATAGATAGCCCGGTAAGATTCTCGTCAAGGGAAAAAGAAGATCAAAAGACCGGGGTAGCAACAGGACTTACCTCCTTCAGCCTCAGGCCCAGGTTGATGAAGGCCTCTTCAATAGACTGGCCGGCCGGCTCTGAGTCCCCTTTTTGCCTCTTCTTGGCAAAGGATGGGTGTGTGGTGGCCACCTTTCTTATCCGGCGGCCGGTTTTCTCCTTGCCCTTCCCTTTTGACCGGTCATCCTCCGGCTCGTCCAAATCGTGGATTTCCACGGTCTCTGGTTGGACCTTGAAGGTTTTCGCAGTACCGGCCTGAGAACCACCGGTCTCTCCCTCGGGCTGATCTTCGGGCATGGTGAATTCTTCGAACTCCATGTCTGCGAAAGTAGGCAAAACCATTAAGTACAAGCAATAGTTTTCCCGGTCAAACTACGAAACACAAGAAAAAGGATAAATACCTGGGTGGTTCTGGCCCTCGGCCTCTGCAGTGTTGCCCGGGGAGGGTACCCCGTGCCCCGCTGCTTCCTAGGCCTGGGAGGTACCCTCACCACCCGACTCTACCCTCCAAACCCAGCTGCCTTGATGGAAGATCCTCCCGGTTTGAGGATCCCCGCATGAGGATCTCGAGGTTGGCTTCCAAGTCTGGGGAGGAGGCCGGTGCAGCGTACTCTTGGTCGAGCAGATGGTCGTTCCACTTCAGACCGGCCAGAGGAGTGAAGAAGGGGGGAAATTCGATAAAAACAAATTTTTCCTTCCATCCCCGGTTACTCTGGGGGACTTCGGAAATGAACTTCCTGCCGGTGCGAGCTTTGAAGAATACAAAACCTTCGCAGCCAGCCCCGCCCGGTGGGACTTCGAAGCAAAAAAGGAAGAGACGCAAAGAAGGGAAGATTTTTAGATGGGTACAGATGTTTACGAAGGAGTGGAGGTACCGGTGGGCGTTAGGAGTTATTTGGCCGGGCAAAATCCTAAACGCATGGCAAACCTCAGTAAGGAGGGGGCGAGGGGGAAAAACTATACCCGCGTCCAGGGAAATGGTATGAAACCCTATCCTATCCTCCCGGTGGGGTTCAACGATATTGGGCCAGTTGGGTTCGTAGAGGAGGGTATACCCATCCGGGAGCCTCCTACGGATTTTATTTAAAGCGATTTTGGATACACGGGAAGGTATGTCAAGGACATAGAAAGTGGGAAGCGGAAAGTAACCGGCAGCGTGAAGCCGCTCCTCCCACCCGTCCCGGGTTTCATGTTCGGGGTCATAGGGGCCCGGTTCGTCATCGACCGGGTCATCCCTCCCCACGAAAGTTTCACCGGGCACCTGATTTACAGGATGCGGGTCGGGAATGGAGGAGTTGGGAACCTGGCCGGGCGAAGAGTCAAGAGAAGAAGACCCGGTCGAGGAAGAGGAGTTGGAATTCTCAGAGGAGCAGTCCTCTGAGGAAGAGACCCCATCGCTAAGAGGAGACATGACTGGGAAAAGTATAGAAGGAAAGGGGAACTTACTTGACTCGGAGGGCTGATCGCGGAAAGTGAACAAAGAAGAGGGGTGGAGGCCTTTATATAGGAGGAGAGGAGGCCAAAGGGAGCGACGTGGCCACGCAAGAACATGCCACGTCAGGCGGCGCAATGATGGCGCATTGGGAAGGCGATGGGACGCGACTGCAGCGATGGCCAACGTCAAACACGTGTCAAAACCGACAGTTGGAGTTTTGAATTTGAAATATTCGAGCGGGAAAAATTAGAAATTTGAATTTAAGAGTCCTGTTTCAGACTTTTTACTTCCCGCTCATGACAAATTGCATGAACGAGAAGTGGAGGGCTTATTGATGGGTGTATTTCACCCAAGACCGGTCAAAGGAGGAGGACAAATCTTTGACCGGTCAATCTCGAAAGTTTTGGAAGGGAGACTTNATCCTATTTATTCCAGACTTCGATGAATTCACCTCTCGGAGATTACCCGGTGTAGTTTCTGAGGTTGGAAAGTGTCGGCAGAGGAGAATCTACGAGGGCTTGGCGTGTAGCGACCCGTGTCAGTAGAGGACGACTGGAGATGCTGAAGAATCCATCCAAGGCACTACCTGACAAAGGGAATAATCCCCCTCACAAGGCGACAAGGTAGCTAAGAGACGAGGCCCATCACCTCTCAACATCCGAGACACGTGCCTCCACGTGGGCGCACGTGGTCCTGTCCCCTTAGCCTAGTATAAATACTCATGTAAACCTCAGAAAGAGGGATCCGAATTCACTCTCTCTAAACTCCCTTGTAAAAGCACCCGTGCATTCTCCGTTATAATATAAATCGGGCTACAGGTGTTCCACCTAAAGTCCTACCGGTCAATTTGCGTGTTTTTACCTTTCTTACTTTGCCAAATCAAGCGAACTATTCTAGACCCGGTCTAGTATAGTTTGACCGGTCAAGTAATTTACACCATCAGAAGTTAAAGTTTATTCAATTTGACTCGAAAAGAATAAACGCAACAAATACCATGTATGGAGGTAGTATTTTTTATAATAAAGTTTTTTTGGTAGAAGTTTCATAGTTTTAAAAATATATAGCTCCATTTGTTTATAGTTTCTATACTATATTTCTACCAAATGGATGTATTAAAAAGTCGGCAAAATCCACCTAAACTATATGGTACTAACGGTAGTCTATATATAGAGAATTGGTCTTTAAATAAGTTTCTTATTTTCTTTTATTGAATGCCCTTAATTAATATTTATATTAATATAAAGTTTTATATTAATTTTTTCAGTTTCTTTGAATTCCTTTCAATTCTTTTCAATATTTTTTGGTTTCTTTCAATAATTTTAAAAAAGTATTTACGTATAATGAATCTATAATAATATTATATATCCAAATTTATAATATATTAGCTCAAACACGGATAAATATCCTTTTTTAAATCTAAAATTAGAATTTTACTTACATATTTAATTAGATGATAATTTAATTGAATTATTTTTTAACGCTTTAATCCACAAAAGAAATACTATCTCCGTCCTAAAACTTTCTTCCCAGAGCATTATTCCAACTTCACGAGAATTTATATTTATTTGTGTTTTTTCATGGTCTATATGATAAAATAAAATATTCTTGTCACCACTTATTTTGTTAAACTTTTGATGTAGTTTTTAAATATGTACTCCCTCCGTCCACAAATAAACTTTACGTTCACTATTTACAGGGTCAAACTTTATTCACTTTGTTGGCCTATTTTCGTCACTCATTTGATAAAATAATATAGTCATGTCACCTCTAGTTTTGTAGATCTTTTGATATAGTTTTTTAATATGTAATTTTTATTTTTTAATTCTACACCATTTTTCATACAAAATGATTTGAAAATAACTTCAGTCAAACATCATAACGCGTAATGTAAAGTTTAATTTTGGACGGAGGAATATGTTTTATTTTTTATTTTTATACCAATATTTAAATAAAATAGATTAAAAAAAACTTGAATTTTTCTTCGTTTTGCGCAACGAGAATAAAAATATAGGATGGAGGGAGTATTATTTGGGACGATATAGTTTGGAGTTCCTATACAAAATGCTAAACGTAACGGCTACTTTTTTTGCTAGGAGGCCTATGACTGCCCACCGCGTGTCCGGCCCCACAAATTGAAAATCATGGCTTCTTTCATAATATCTTCATTTTTTAATGAAAAATAGTCCCTTTGTCCAATGAAGATACGGAGTAATATTTACTCCCTCCGTCACCTGTATTTGTCCACATTTGACTTTTGGAACTGTTCATCTAAGCACTTTGACTCATCAAATTCTCTCAATGTGTTAGTCTAAATATAGTCATGTGTGATCTTGTTTGATTTTTCTTAACATATAGATTATTAATATATAATTTTTATAGTTTTTTAATATATAAATTAAAAGATAAAATAGATTAAAGAAGTGCATTGGATGGTGTGCAAAAATGAAAGTGGACAAATACAAGGGGACGGAGGGAGTATTTCTTTTGTTTGTTTAAAAGATATTTTACTTTCTACTTTTAGAATAAAATTTGTGATCTTTATAATCTCACTTGTATGCATCACTTTTGGCCACATAATTTCATATATTAATCTTCATGCATCAAAACTGAAACTTTGTTTGACATATAGGGAGTAAAAAGTCTCGTAAAATAGTCATTTTTTATTTTACATGTGTAGGTTTAGTATTTTGAAAATTGATAAAGTAAATAAATTTTTGGGGCACAACTATTTTTTTGGTCAACCCAAATTAAAACTCATTGATATATATATATATATATATATATATATATATATATATATATATATATATATATATATATATATATATATATATATATATTCTTATTATTTTTCAATTCATTTAAAAATTCATGTGAACTAAAAAATAAAGTTTACAAGAATTCCTTGAAAAAAAATCAAGGAATCAATAAAAATGGATAAATTCTATGTTGAATTTAAGATCTATCATGAACTTACATATGAGCAAAATAAATATTTTCTTACTGCTTAAATAAGCTTCCGTTTTTTGATAAAAAATGAAAAAATAAATTTTTTATGTGAGCAGATCGACAAAAATAGTATGCTCCAATGTGCACCATAGAAGAACTCAGAAAAATGGCATGCTTATCCTCTCTCCGTCCCAAATTAGATTATTTATTTACTATTTAGTATTTAAAAGGTCAAACTTTATTCACTTTCTTTCTTTACTTTTGTTAGTCATTTCATAAAACAATATATTCATGTCATTACTAGTTTTGTAGATTTTTTGATGTAGTTTTTAAATATATATTTTTTATTTTTTTTAATTTTACCCATTTTTCTTATAAAATGATTTAAAAATAACTTCAGTTAAATATTATAATCGAAACAGACAATTTAAATTAGGACTGGGGAATAATTTCATCTAACAATTTATGAGGCATGGGCAACGAATAGGAATTTAGTTAAATGGGCTTTTCAAGAATTGGAATTATAAAAAGGCTATTCGGGCCTGGCTTATTTGAACCAGCAGCCTAAAGTCGGAAACACATTTCTTTGGGCCTGCAAGAATTCGAGCCAAAACTCTACACAGGCCTGGGCCTTAGTCATATTACTAAAAGAGATTTTATATGTTTATAAGAGGCCATTGGCCATTTATGGGCAAGGACAAAAAGGTTTATGGACACACTCATGCAGATCCATATCTGATATCTCCATAGATTGGTACTCCATATAAAATTTAGGAAAAAATTCTCAAAAAAAGTATTCTTCCGTCCAACAATAATGTTCTCATTACGTATTACGATGTTTGACTTAAATTATTTTTCAAATTATTTTATATGAAAATTGTATGGAACTAAAAAAATAAAAATTACATATTTAAAAATTACTTGAAAAGATCTATAAAACTAGAATTGACATGACGTTATTAAATTTTCAAATGGGCAATGAAAATACGATAACAAAGTAAATAAATTTTGACTCTGTAAATAGTAAACAAGGACATTATCGTTGGACGAAGGGAATATTTGAGATGTTATAGTTTTCAAACACTATTTTCACATTTCATTGTGTTGGCAAATAAGTTACTCTGTAACTTTTACTTGTGTCTATGCATTTTAGATAATAATTGTTCTTATTGAATAATAAGAACTACATCAATATAAATTGAGAATACATGAAGAATCTTAATCGTAATAAAATTTAAAAAAATATGATAACAATAGAATAAATAATAATAATAATAATAATAATAATAATAATAATTGTTAGTAAACTCCATGTTCTAATATGACCAAAATTTTTGGGAACCCTATGTAAATTTCAAGTTTGCAAAGTACACAAAATTGATTAATCATTAATTTACGATCAAAATTTAATTTACCTTCTCTCAGTGACAGTTCTGTTGAGGATGTGGTTCCTCTTTTTTTAAAAAAGGGAGAAAAAGAAAAGATTTGGAAAGGAAGTGTAAAGGACATTACTGCCAGCCTAGTTGAAGCCAAATTTGTCAATCAAAAGATTTTTTTTCTTTTTATTATAAAAAAAGATTATCAGGTAGTTTCCCCCCTCTTAATCTTCGCCGACACAACAGTTCCTTTCTTCAATAGGTTCAATACGGAGTATAGCAATTGTTAGTTTCACTTCTTGTCCCACTATAAAATACTCACTTTATTCCAAAGAAGAAAAGGTCACACTTCTTATTTAGAACTTTCCAATAAAAAAAAGTTTATCTTTTTTGTTTTTAATAAAAAAAGCTGAACTTTGTGTTCTTTTGCAACGCTTTCAATAAAAAATTTTTTTACTTTTCTTTTAGCTAAAAATTAATAAGTCACACTTCTTATTTAGAACGATGATGATGTTTAACTAAAAATTAAACTGGTAAAGTCGCCGCCTACCCACCCATATGAATACGTTCCCATTCTTCAGGCCAAGGTGAGTTTGTGTTAAATGAGAGACTGAGGTGAGTTATGTGTCACATTTTGATTGGTAAGACATAAAGTTCAAATACAAATTGGGACAGATCAGAGGATCACCTGCCCTAAATCATTGGGTATTTGGGTCCGACATAGCATTGTTTCATTACGACTCTCAACAACTATACAAAAACATGGGTCACAATATATTTTTTCAACAACTACGTCAAATTAAATTGGCAATATAATTTTAGAATATAGGATTGTATTGTATTATGACTATATAATTGTGACCCATGTTTTTTAAAGCCGGAGAGTTTTATGGAACAAAGATAAAAATTAACTAAGAAAAATGCTAAAATCACTTAAGTCTTTTTATCACAATCTTCTCATACACATTGACCCCTAATAAACTTATTTGTGGATACATGTGAGAAAATGAAAAAAATTGAGAAAATGATAGGTTGATTTAAACCAATACTTAATAGTCAAATTTGATAAATTTAGCAAAGTTTAAATATTACGAAGTAATTGAATATGAAAAAAAAGATAGAATGTCTATAGTGCACCCACACCTCGGCCCCAGAGAGTAATAAGAGTTAGATCACACTATAATCTCAGCATCGTCTTTCAAAAAGCTGTATCGTATTTGGTGCAGATAAATAATTATCACATTAAATAAAAATCCATACATTACAAATATTAGAAATCGATTCTGCAATGTCGAAGTTAACACTTTTCTCTGAATACCACCAAAGCTATTGGTGCTCGGCTATGAAAAAAGGTACTTTCTCCGTCCATTAGCTTTTTTCTCACTTTCCTTTTTTGGTCATCCAAAATTTTTTTCCCGTTTCTTATTTTGGTAACAAAATTTTAATAAATCTTCCATTATACCACTATTTATTATCTACATTATTTACTTATTCAATCACATCAAGAACAAAACATAAAAAATCTTTATACTTTCTAATTTTTCTTATTTTCTGTACCAAGTCAAAACGGAAAAAATTTTTTTGGACGAAATGAAAACTGGAAAGCTGAACTTCTATAGCACACAAGATGATTGTGTAACATTTTCCAGTCTTCTTTATACTGTCAGCAACAGTTTGGGCAAAGTAAATTTAATACTCCTCCAGTCCTCCATCTGCATTTACAGATATTTAGTCCAATTTTTCTCTCCTTCTCTCTCTCCCTCTCTCTCTCTCTCCATGACACTGAAACTTGGAATCCCAGAGCCCTATGGCGAGCCCCACCGCAATTTCACCGGCCCGTTCAAATGAATGAATCCCAAGAAAGTCCCAAGAAACTGAAATGGGGAAGACAAAGACGGGGGCTTTCTTCTTCACTGAGCTTGTTCTAGTGATCGCCGCCTCGATTTCCAGATTGGGTTTTGTAACAGCTACTACTGATTCCAATGACTGTAAGTTTTTGTATTTTCTCGTGTTTTTTTTTGTTTTGTGGATTTCAGTTTTGGGTAATGTTGATTTTTTTCGTGGAAATTTGTGAGGATGAAGAAGCTTCTTTTGGGTTCCTGTGATCTGTGAATCCATGATTTTGGAAGTGCATGTTCCAAGATTATTTAATGATTGTTGAAATTTGGATGCATTGTATTTTCTTGCCATTTATGGATTTGAGTCAAAGCTACTTGAAAATTTAAATTTTGCTATAAATGCATAACCTTTATTTGCTGATACATACATTTCCACTGCAATTTATCTATTTGTAATTATATGTGCATATAAAAGGCATGATTTCATGAATTATAATTTACTCCCTCTGTCCCATAAAACATCTTTTCCCTTCTCACAACAACAAGAACAAAAAACCCATTAAAATCTCACAAAAAGTAGAGCATGGGGAGGGTGTGCCTTAAGATACTACCCTGTAATTTTTTTCCCCTCTCACTGATACAAATTTTGAAATTATCAGAGGGTACAACTATTGGAAATAATCAAACATAGTTATATTCCATATTTTTTTAGAACTTATATGTTGGCTCAAGCGAATTTGTTTTGACATGATCGAAAAACATTAAAAAAGGTGAAAATTAAATTCTTTTGTTCAAATAAGACAACAACAACTACAACAATAACCTAGTATAATCTCAACTTTGTTGGAGTCTGGGAGATCAAATGTATGCCGTCTTACCCCTCTAGAAATAGAGAAATTGTTTTTGTTAGACATTAGATGCATTACTAGATTTAGTACCCAAAACCTCATAGAAAGTTAGACGCTGAGGAAGTTTAATGTTCCATTTCGATTTGTTTTTTTGGGGCGGAGGGAGTAGTCGTGAGCATCTAGGCTTTTTGCATTTTTATGCAACATTGGTTTTTGGTTTTGGAAAACAAAGACATTGATAAATTATAGTACTTTGCAGTGCAAGGGCTTCAGGTTTTGTACACTTCACTAAACAGCCCTTCTCAACTGACTGGTTGGAAGGCGAACGGGGGTGATCCTTGTGTTGAATCATGGAAAGGGATTACTTGTGCAGGCTCTGCAGTTCTCTCACTGTAAGAACTTTCCTCTATTCAATGGCAGTTCCGTAAGGGGTGTTTTTGCTGAATTTTTAAGTAAAGGACTGGTAAAGTTGGTTTCATCCGGATTTGTCACATACTACTTATTCTGCTTGATGAGCAGGTCAAACAGAAGAATACAAAAATTATACTACCAAACAGATCCTTACATGTGTAATTGTTTCTATTTTCTAATTGTATTGATGAAATGATGGATCTTTTATTGGAACAGCAAAATTTCTGGGCTGGGATTGGATGGAACAATGGGGTACAATCTCAATGCTCTTACATCTTTGAAAGAATTGTAAGTTTAATTTTGTTTTTCGATATTAAAAATTGCTTTTATTCTGGATTTTCTCAATCATTAGCTAACATGGTATTTGCATTATGGTGGTTCCTAGAGATATGAGCAGCAACAACATTCATGATACTATCCCATATCTGCTGCCTCCCAATCTCACATGCCTGTAATGTTGAATCGTTAAAAATTAAGATATATTCTGCTTGTATATATGATTTATTTGGGTATTAATGGTTTAATGTGTTAAGTATATACTCTTTTCTCAATTCAGGAATCTTGCGAATAATAATTTAAGTGGAAGTATTCCTTATTCAATCTCACTCATGACATCTCTTCATTATCTGTGAGTAATGACTTTTAGACTGTCTTTACGCAATTTCTATAATATACTACAGAGAATATAAAATATGTTCTTTTTTTACTTTGTTATTATATAATAAAATGATGACTAATCCTATCCACAATCCCGTGTATGGTTTAGGAATTTGAGCGGTAATTCTCTTGGGCAACCTATTGGAGATGTGTTTGCAAACCATTCTGACCTTTCAACCTTGTAAGGCATCCCAACTCATGACATGTAATTGCCATATTTATATGTCCAGATTTGGAAGATTTTGCGGTATTTTTTTGATGTCTATTTAGACTAGACTATGTCTAGTCTAGAACCTGGAAGAGATAAGTAGAGGAATGAAATCTCTAAGGAAAAATGGTTTATGTATGCCTCGTTTCGCCTTGAAAACAATCTTATTGTTAAGAAATGAGTTTAAAATGTCAAATTAGTCCTTCAAATGAGTTTGTCACCCATTCATGTCAAAAATACTCGTAACCTATTTCTAGGATATGCTAGACAGTTTATCATAATTTCTTTATTAAATAAGGATAGTGGACAATTTATCCTGTAGAAATGAAAATCAGAAGTGGAGAACTAAATTTGGACGGAGAGTTTAAAAGAAAGAAATCAAATTTGATTAGTTTTGTAGTAATATTTTTTCCTTTACGTATGATATACATATATACAACTAAAAGATTTGAGTTCCAAGAAATATCTATTTTATTTATTGTGGTTGTACCAATTTTTTAATTCCCCCCATATCCCCCCACCCCCACCAAGCATGGCTTCAAACAGACCTTATAACTCTGTTTGTATATTTTCCTTAGGGGGAATTGAGGAGAGGAAAATGAGAATAAAAAATAAATTATGTTTTCTTTAGTTTTCTCTCTTGTTTAAATGAATTTAAAATATGGAGTGGAGAGAAAAATGGGGTATAATAGTCATAATTTCATTTCTCGTTCTTTCTATTCATATTTCTTAATTTCCAAACTTAACTTATGTCATAAATATTTCATTGCATAATCATTTTGATGTATCCTCTCATCTCCAGGGATCTTTCTTCCAACAAGTTTGATGGCGATCTCCCACCTTCATTGAGTTTGTTGTCAAATCTTTCAACTTTGTGAGTGTGAAAAGCTTGTTTTCATCAAGATTATCACACACACACACACACATATATATATATATATATATTCCTTTGACTAGCTTATGATGTTTTTGGTTCTATCTGTAGTCGCATGCAGAACAATCAATTGACGGGTACTCTTAATGTCTTGGCCGACTTACCTTTGACTGATTTGTAAGTTTTGACTCTTAACTATAAGCTCTTGAGGGTGCAGATTGGCCCTTAATGTTTTCGTTATGCTATGTTTGATTTGAAGAATTAGGAAGGAAAGGAAAATGCAGGGAAAATAAAACAAAAAAATCCTAAATCCTAGTTTTGTTTGGTTTATAAAGAAAACAAAGGAAAATACATTTCCATGATTCCTTTGTTTGATTTTTATAAAGAAAAAAAAAACAAAACCACACCCCTCCCCTCACACCCCACCACTACACACAAAAGAACCCAAAAGTTCCTTGAACCAAGCACAGTCATAAAGCCATAGTGACCTTAAATATTGAGAAAAATGGAGAAATTATAATTATTACTATTTTTCAAACCTTGCAACACATAAGTCATATATTCTAAGTAGAATGTTTCTTTTTACTGTGTATTTTTTTCATGTTGGGAGTATAAAAAATTTCCTCCATATGAAAGATTAGAAATATATCATTGGAATGCTCAGAACAACTTTTGTGCAGGAATGTTGCCAACAATAATTTCAGTGGATGGATACCGAATGAGCTCATTTCTATTCCAAAGTTCATGTAAGCATTACACAAATTGACACCCACACTTAGGCCTCGTTTGGTATGGGTTATTTGTCTGAAATGGTTAAATGTGCTAATTATGGAGTATCTAAGAGCACTCACAAGTCACAATGGTGAGTGGAAAAAAAATCCTCACCACTCTCTCCCTACACTTTCCCACTCTTCCACATCATCATTTTGGAGTGGATTTTTTCCCCTTGCATTCCATCAATGAGGAAATCCTTTTTGTTCATCACCTCTCTCTTTCAATGGGGCCACTTATGGAGTGCTAAAAACAAACTTTTCCACGCACGACATGCTAAAAAAGGTCATGAGGAAATTTTAAAAAGTTCACCATTGGGATAGTTTTTATCCCAAAAAAAAATCTCGCATGACAAATTTTCTCATGGGTGAGAGACCTCTAAGAGGAAAAGTGTTTGGTTAAATTGTTCGGCAAATAAGTTTATCAGAAGCTACCTAATTAACGCTACCAAATGGGGCCTTATATAGTTATATATACTCTAGTACATCTGCAGCTTTTATTTTTCTACCATGTGATGCTACTCCTCCTATGTAATAGATACGGTGGTAATTCATTTACCAATGGTCCCGCTCCACCTTTGCCGCCATTTACCCCACCTCCTACCGGTAGGCCCCGCAGAAAAAAACACGCTTCACCGGCCCCACACAAAACTCCAAGTTCTGATGATAACCTATCCAACAATCCAAACAAGGGAAATGGAAAACATGGCATTACAGTTGGAGCTATCGTAGGCATAGTCTTGGGATCATTATTTGTGGTTCTCTTTACTATTATTCTGATTGTATTTTGCCTCCGGAGGCCCAGCAAGAAGGAAATTGTAGCAAGGTCCTCCACGGAAAGTCTTCATATCAATGCAGACAAAGGTTCTCTCGCTCACTCTCAAAAATATGTATTCAAAAAAATTTTGAATTATTTTTAGCAATTCTTTATTAAAAAAATATGAAGTATAAAAATTATTTAAAATGAAAAGTATTCAAAATTCGTGATTTTTGGAGTCTAAGATTGATACGGAGTAACTTTACCATATGTGTCCTAAATCGAGAGCTCTCATCTTTCAGGATTCATAACTAGCATATCCTTTTGCCTTTTGGTACTCAATAAATCTCGAAAAATAAAACAATAAAGTTCAATCGTTCATCATCACATTTTTTACTACAGAGTTGCTAGATCAAAGGGCAAGGTCGACATCTAATATAGTAGACTTGAAGCTCCCATCAACTGAGAAATCACTTATTGAAAAGATGCAAGGGAAGAATGGTTCTTTAAGGAAATCCTCTTTGACTGCTTCTCCATATACCGTGGCGGCACTTCAAACTGCAACAAATAGTTTTAGTCAAGAAAACCTTGTTGGCGAGGGTTCCATTGGTCGTGTCTATAGAGCAGATTTTCCCAATGGAAAGGTAATTCGTATTTTCCTCAAGTTTTGATTTCATTGGACAAGTCTTATTTGGTCAAGGTATAGCAACAAATAAAGTCAAGACTTTATATGAAGGTATAGCAACAGATAAGATTTTAATATTTGTTCCCCCAAAATTTCACCTTTTTTTGGCTTTGGGGTGTGATGGAATAAATCAAAATGGATCTCTAAACTGTCTGCGCTTCTTTAATTAATGAAGTAGCAGTTAGTCAAGCAATGCAACTTTCGACGTTGAGCCGGGGGTCTCTTTGGAAACAGCCTCTCTACTTTCAAGTAGGGGCAAGGTCTGCGTACACACACCCTCCCCAGACCCTACTCTTGTGGGATTTAACTGGGTTGTTGTTGTTTGTTTATGAGTATTACTCAAAGCAAAAATGTTTTCAAGATTTGGTCTATGCAGAACTTTTAAATTTTCAAAAAGTATAACCCATAAAAGTAATGAAGTTATATTTATGTTTCAAATAGTCATTTGTTGATTTGACAATGTGTACTATATCTAACTTGTTTAGTTGTTTATAACCAGTTGATGGATCTTGGATTCGTGGGTAGTAGGGAATACGCTACTCGCACAAAGAATAAAAGCTTCAATTTAGAGCATGACCCATAAGAGGGGTATTTATAGCCTATAGGTTTACATTTACAAATGTGTAGACCTAGCTATGTCATTTACATGCATCATCGTAGGGGATGTTGGGCCTGGCCCAACAGGTTATGGGAGCAGGCCTAGCCCGTCCCCGGAGCAGGCCCACTGGGAAGCTAATTGTTCCAAGGGTTTTAGCAAGCATTCTTCCTTTTGGGTCAGTTTGGGCTGGGTTCCAGAGCCTCCTCTTGCCCAGGCCCGGTGATCCAGCCCAATCTATCTATCACCACCGGTTTTGCCGTGCTATTGGCAAAAAGTAACTGTTTCTCTTTTGATGTTGTGCTAGATTTTGGCCATAAAAAAGATAGACAGTGCAGCATTATCACTGCAAGAGGAAGACCATTTTCTTGAAGCCGTTTCAAGCATGTCAAGGTTGAGACATGACAATATTGTCCCTCTGGTAGGATACTGTGCAGAGCATGGGCAACGTCTTCTTGTCTATGATTACATCGGGAACGGAAGCTTGCATGATATGCTGCATTTTTCTGATGAGAGGAGCGAACTGCTGACTTGGAATGCACGTGTTCGAGTAGCTCTTGGCACGGCTCGAGCTCTAGAGTATGTAATTTGACTATGGGTATTATAGTAATTTTTCCAAACTAATCATTGTTACTCTTTCTGTCTCACTATTTTTGTTTGTTACCATGTTTGGTGATATTTCCGTGTTTTACATTCATTTGCACTTTATCTTTTTAATATCAATATCAACCACACAATCTTATTTTTCTTAATCTCCGTGTCACTTCCTCATGTCCCAAAAATAGTGGGACGGAGAGAGTATCTTTTTTTTGCCCCTAACTAAACATTGGGTCACCAGGTACTTGCATGAAGTCTGTTTGCCTTCGATTGTGCATAGAAACTTCAAATCGGCAAACATTTTGCTGGATGACGAGCTCAATCCCCACTTATCGGACTGTGGTTTAGCTGCTTTGACACCCAACACGGAACGCCAGGTCAGCGATGCGGTCCCCATTTTGTTGTGTTTAGTGTACATCTGTCACACAATGCTTTTATAACCGCAAGTATCTTTCTCTTTCTATGTTGTGCCTCCATATTCATGTTCAAATATATTTAGTTTTTGTTAAAACTTCGGTGGGCCGAGAACTACGGGCAGAGTGTCAGTTAAAATTAATGACTTGTTAACCACTTGCATATAAACATGGGATCCACTTTTTAACCCAAAAGATTAAGCTGAAAGGTAGAGTTTCACCCTTTTATATATGCTAGTGGCATTTCTTTTCTTTATCCAATGTGGGAACTCCAACAATTTCCATTTTTTAGACATACTAGTACTATTTAATCCTTGGAAATGTAGGGGTAAGGTCTGCGTATATTCACTTTCCGGGACCCACTCTATAGGATTTTAATGCGCTTGTCGTCGTATTATTTTATTTTCAGGTCATGCTAAGGTGTCCCTAAAAAGTCGACCTTAAGTTTTACCCCTGCCCGTTCTTGCCCACACTGACATGGTTTCACAGACATGACCATGTATGTGAAATCTTGTCCGTAAGGGCAAAAATGGGTGATGTTTTTTTTAAAAAAATTAATTGGCAATGATTTTGTGCATTCTTTGTAATGAAAAAACTCAAGAAAGCTAACAAACTTCGTAAAAGATTCAAATTTTTTATGTGAACAAGGAACAACTCTTAAAAAAATCATATTTATATTTTTAAAATTTGCATTTTGGCTTGATGAATTCCATTGTACTTTAACTTGTTTGTAACTATAAATTTATAATTCCCCAACTCTTAGAACGTACTATGATTTTCGCCCCGAACTTCAACAGATTGCATCGACACACGTGATTGGATCATTTGGATACAGCGCCCCTGAGTTTGCATTATCCGGAGTATACACCGTGAAGAGCGATGTTTATAGTTTTGGTGTGGTAATGTTGGAATTGTTGACGGGAAGGAAGCCACTTGACAGGTCCGTTTTACCTTTACAACAACAACAACAATAACAATGATAATAGTAATTAATAATAATATTAATAGTAATTAATAATAGTAACAATAATAGTAATTGTAACAAATAATAATAATAATAATATAAATACTAATAATAATAATAGAGGTCACGAGTTCGAACCTCACTGCCACTTAGTTTTAAAAAAATAATGTTCAAGTGCAATGTTCGAGCAATAAGAAACTTGTCTGTACGTGAGGAGGTGTGTTATTCAGAGGTTGAAGCTTGTCGGGATTCTTTTAAACCCTTTTCACTAATTATTACCATTTGATGTGTGTTTTTATAGCTCGAGGGAGAGATCGGAACAGTCACTAGTGAGATGGGCGACACCTCAACTTCATGATATTGATGCCTTGTCAAAAATGGTCGACCCCGTATTGAAGGGCATGTATCCCGCCAAGTCCTTGTCTCGTTTCGCTGACATTATTGCCCTTTGCGTTCAGGTAAACAGTAATTTTTTGATAGTATAGATTGGGAAAATATCTAATGAAACCGTCTTTTAAAGACTATCAATGTACTCCGTAAGTTTTATTTACTAGAACGCTAAGCACTCTAGATGAACAGTGTTTGTCGAGTTTGATTGGAAAAAATCAAATTAGACATATACACCGGGATGAATGTAGTAGTATAGAGTCGGGGGCATACCTGGCAATATAAAATGCCGAGATTATGTATATGGTGTTGCTATATCCACCCTCATTTTGGCTATATCTACTCCATTAATGTTAAGTTGACAATTTTAACCTCAAAAATCCAAAAAAAAAACAAAAATAGAACTTTGATGCAAGACCACTTTTAAGGGCAAAATTGTCCATTTAATATAAAAGGAGTGGATATATCCAAAATGGGGGTAGATATAGCAACACCCTTATGTACATATAGACAAATAATCTAATGATTTGAAATGTGCAGCCGGAACCGGAGTTTCGGCCACCCATGTCGGAAGTGGTTCAAGCGCTGGTTCGGTTAGTCCAACGGGCAAGCGCGGTCATAAGAAGGTCGAACGACGAGTCGGGATTCTCATTCAAAACCCCTCCCCACCATACCGCCGCCCCCGACATTCCATAGAAGTTTACCTCTGCAATTTTGTATGTAACTTCAGCAGAGGTGAGATGATGAGGGAGCCAAAACCCAAGCCAGGAGGGTAAATCCAACAGCTATGAATTAACCCAGTGAGGTGAAAAAAAAGATGTAATTATCTGTCAGTAGTTGAAGTCAACGGTAAATATTTTTTTATGACAAAAAATATTCTTACTTGTCCTTTCACCTTTGTTGTTCCATATTTACTTGCCATTTTCACTGCACATTCTTACCTCTAAAGATTCAATGGTTTAATTACATTTTTATTCAAAACAAAATAAACATATTGGAGATTTTTTTTATTTTTTTTGTGGGTAGTGTAAATATTTGTGACAAGAACCACTTAATATTAGTTTTATAAATGAACAAATTTAGTAAATCTCATGTGAAGCAAAATTTGTACCCTACCAATATTGGAAATCAAACAACTTTAGATTTCATATATTTTGTTGGCAAATAAAGTCCGGAGATTAGACCGTCTCCCTACGCCGGAGACTCCTCCGTCGCCGCCGCTGCCGGAGGCGTCAGGGCACATTGATGCCTTCATGGTTAGCACTCTTGCTTTGTACCAATCGCCGCCGTCGCCGGCGGCCGGGGATACTTTCCCCCGCCCCTTATTTCCTCCTTCCTTTGTAGTATACCCTTTGTCACCGTGGCTCCTATCTTTTCCGACGTCTTTATCGGCTGACTTCGTCAAGACCCCGTTACTCCGGCTGCTGGTGCCGCTCACGCTCCGGCGGGGTGGCCAGGCCGTGTAGGTCCGCCCCTTGCGAGGGGTCGGCAATTTCTTGAAGTTGAACTCGGCGGGAGAACACGGCGCGCTGATGACTCTGGGTGGAGTCAGGGCGGCTCCCGCTGGCGGCATGCCGCTGCCGTTGCCGGCAGAATTGCTTCTTCTGAAAGGCCAAATGTTGATGTTTAGAACCAGTTCGGCGGCGTGAGCTGCAAAAATGCCGCCTTTCTTTTCCTTGCTGGTTTTCTCGCCGGGAATCTCTCCGCCTTTCGGGGCCCTCTTGAAAATATCCCTCCACCGTTTGGAAGAGGTGGTGGAGGAGCTGACCGCCGCAGCAGATATTTCCGGCCCGGATCCCGATCCCAAATCCGGCTGCTCCGCCCCGTATGAATCTGGGTGTTCGGATTTTGGTTCCAACTCTGGCCGCTCTGCCCGAGATAAATCCGGGCAATCCGTTTCCGGTTCCAATTGCACCTGCTCTGCCGCGGATGAATCCCGGCGTTCAGACTCCGGTACCAACTCCGGCTGCTCTGCTGCAGATAAATCCGGGCGATCCGGTTCCGAAACCAACCCCGACAGCTGTTCGACGGACGAATCCGGCGGATTCAATTCGGGAGCAAAACGGGTCTTTTCTTCCTCTCCAGACGAACCCAGCAGATTCGTCTCCGGCGTTTCTCCGGAAGTGGGAATCCGGTAGATAGGGAGCAGGACGCCGTCGGAGAAGAGCTGATCGGCGGACAAAAGATTGGGTTTTCGGAGCACGCAAAACTCGAAAGACCCACCACTAGAACCGCCGCTTCTTCTTCGCCTTCTCGATTTCCCGTTAGGGGAATCCGAGAAATTTGAAATTGACTGAAGAACTTGAGCTTCTTCTTCTTCTTCTTTTTCTTCTTTCATGGCCGCCATGGCTCGTCGGAAGAAAGAAATGAAAGAACAGAGCGCTTCTTTAAAACAGAGTTGGCGCAAAGCAATAATGGCCGTTTTCTCTCTTTTCCTTTTTCGTTTTTTTACTTCAAAATAAAGGAACCGGTGGGACCCAACCAAACTTAGTCCATTTACCTCGAGATGTGGCAAAGTTGGGGAGAGAATATCCAAATATTTTCTTCTTTTTTTTTTTCAAAATTTTTATGAAGAATATTGGGTAGATTAATTGAGTAGATACTAAACATCAAAATTTTACTTAATAAAACTAAAACATTAAATTTATACTAAAAGGGGTTGTTAAGTTCACTATTTTTTTGTTAAATTCACACCTTTTATTTAAAAAAATAGATAAATTTACCCTTAAATTGTAAAAATAAGGATATGCATGTGGATTAATTTAAGAATAAAATTAAATATTTATCATAAATAAGGTGATTTTATAAAGAAACAAAAGAATGAATTTAGCAATATTAGTTGACCTATAAAAATAGGAAATCTGTGAAGGGTAGCAAATATTGTGTACGTTTAGAATATTAGAGAGAAGATGAAAAACAAATAAACTTTATGAATCGTATAAATGTTTTCATATTAAAGTTGTTCTGATAATGTTAAAAAATACTTTAATTGAATAACACATTTGTTACTAGAATTGAGTATATGATTTCTATGTATGAAATATAAGACCTCTATATTTATAAAAGAAATATGAATTTATTGATATTAACCAACATGATTGTTTGTCTAATATTCAAATAACCACGTAATACTATGGTCAACAACCACCGCTTTTCGTATAGTACTCAACTATATATAATATTCAAATACTAATGCGCTCAAGATTTTCTACTAAACTAAAAGTATTTGAATATTAGTTTACACTCCGTAGTATTTGAACACTCAATTTAGTCGTACATTCCACAGTTTCAATTACATTATCAATGTTTATTAAAATTTTCTATGCCACTAAAATATCAACATAAAATGCCTAAATTTCACATTTTTCCAATTCTTTGCATTTCTTAAAATTATTTCTAACTTTTTCTAATTGCTTCTAGTTTTTTCCAACACAAAAGATCAACGATTTAGTAATATTTGTTGAGTTTTGTTTAATATTTTTTTTATTTTGATACATAATTAAAGTGTTTAACTTTGATATTCAAATTAATTTAAAATTAACAAAGAAGACTAAATGGGAACTTTACACGAAATTCTTATGAAGTTAATTTAAAAAGTAAATAAAAAAAAGCTTAATTATTGCTTGAAAAGAGTGAGTAGAAATTGAAAAAAGTTAATAGTGACTCAAACTCATTTGTACGTTTTAGTATTTTTTTAAACATCAATATCAATAACGTAATTTAACACTATTTAATTTGCATGATGTTAATCCATGTCTAAAAAGTAATATGACAAAGAAGACAATGTTTTTGTATTAATAGGAAAAATAATCTTAAATAATTTTACCTTTTTACGTTTTTTCAAAAATAATCTCGTTTTTCATGGTTACAAAAAATAATCCCACATTTCTGCATGTGTGTGAGCTTTGGGTTATCGTTAAAAAACTAACAACCACTTAACGGTATTATTTGAAAATGCATGTTTTTCACAAATAAATGAAAGATGAGATTATTTTAGGTGGGAATGTTTCCCGTGACAGTGGAAAGCGAGATTATTTTTGAAAAAATGCAAAAAAGTGAGACTATTTGAGATAATTTTTCCTTATTAATATTGGTTGAAAATAACACTTGTAACAGTTGTAAGAAATGCAATACATTATTTATTTAATCCTTAGTCCGATTTTGAAAACTATGATTGTCTTATTGTCGTTGCCAAAAATCGAACCCGTCATTATCTCATGATAAGATGATAGTCATGATGATGAATATGATGATGATGATGATGTTAATGATGATGATGAAATAAGTAAAATGTTATTGAAAGTGAGAAAAAGTAAGAACAATCTTGTTAGATCTGGTGGGAGGAAACTACGCTTATTTGCTTTTGTTAAAGTCACTATGGACCCCTTACAACAACAAAAAAAAGGTCACAATGGACATTTTAGCCCTACACTACTGACGATTCTCTGTTCCAAACTGAAAAATCTCTCCAAATCTCTAAAATTATTCTTCTAGTTTGATATTTATGGTATCTTTATCTACATGTTACGTGTCATGTAATTTCAAATGAAATTGTCCACCATTATTTTCGTCATTTGTAAGGAAATAGACTAAAGTAGAAGTAAAACATTAAAAATATACTAAAATAAGAGTTCCATATTTTTATTCCTGAGATAGAGGTTAAAATGTATTTACATTGCCAAACATGATCATGTACATTACCCAAAATGCTTATGTACAGTGCCAGATTACCAAAGTACGAACTCCTATTTTGATACTTTCTCTATGTTTTGCTCCTATTTATGGTGATTTCTTTCATTTTTAATTAATTTATTTGGTTCACTATTTTTGTACAATTATGGTACCATTATTTTTAATGAATTTCTATGTCACTCCTTCGTGTCCTAAAAATGGTGGGAGAAAAACAGATACTCCGTAATATATTAGTATGAATTTTTTTTCATTGTTAAATGCCAAACAATGATAAAATATATTCATGCCCCACCCATACCTTTATTTTAGCAGTGGACATTTTGGCCTACACATTCCTTTATTTATGCTTCTTGTATAACTGCAAAGGGACAATATTTGTTTGTACTATAGCAAATATACAAACAAGTTTTGTTTTTAAAGTGTGATAATTGGGATGATGATATTGTATAGCTTTGTCTACACTTTTTAGCCTATCAAAAAATTAAGAGCAATGCTAGGGGTACACCAAAAGGTGTACTCCAAATGTACATCACCCCCTTCTTCACCACACATTTTTATTTACTTATTTTTTAAATTTTTTTTTTTTGTCTTTTTTAGTGGACAAGAAGGGGGTGGGGGACATATGGGGCACACCTTTGGAAAGGTGTACCCCTATCATTTTTCAAAAATTAATCCCAAATGTATAGAGGCTCCATTGTTAATATTGTATTTAGGTCAGACCACCCAAAATTCATACCGTTTGAAACACACGTGAAATGAATCGGGCTTACCCTAACCCGAAAATGAGGATTGGGTTAAATAAGCACTGGAGGCATAATATAAGAGGCGATCTCCACATGTCTCTCTTAAGAAAGCAGATGGTGATTTATTTTTGAATCTGTAAATACTCGTTCTCATTCACTAAAGAAGGGATCAAATTATCAATATACAAAAGATTCATATAGTTTCATGTCCTCATTATCATTTACTACTTGTTCTCTATAATTCTCATATATTCCGGTGGATTAAAACTCACTACTATCAAGTGATAGATACTAACCAAATAAGTTTGACTATTTTGGATGAATATATATTAGTGTGAGGTAAACCTGATACATTTGGTATGAACTATACCTAATTTCATTCAGGGTCCGTTTGGTACACGGAATAGACAGAATTGAAATTTAATTGAAAATTAAAATTCTATGGAATTGATTTGGATGGAATTCAATTTTTCAATTCCAATTCATTATTGGCACAACCAATTCCAAATCCACATATTTTTGTGCTACCAAACAGCAGATTTGAAATTGTTGTCACCAAATTCTATAGTTTAAATTTTGTGTACCAAACTGAGCCTAAGTGTTATTGATTCACTCACAATCCAGTGTCTAATTATACTTTTTTCAACTTAATGATGCACAATGAGTCGACACCTCCGATGCGGCTCGAACCTAAGTGAATACGACTATACCCAACTTAAAACATTGGGTTGAACCGGATTGAATGGTGGTTGGTTTGGGCACATTTAAGTACCATATTTAGTTGTGTGGGTAGTATGGTTTTTGACAAAATAGGAAAACAAACATAGAAAAAAGCAGCAGCAGGTGTTGGGCATACATCCATGACATCAATCACGTCTTCCCACTTTCAAGCATCAAATTTGGACGGCAACAAGGTAACCCCTCTTGGCTAATTTCTAACCACGCTTTTCCCGTCGCAACACTTTTCTTGAACTTCGAGAAAAACAAACTGAGAAATTTTTTATGGTACGCGGGAAGGATGGAAAGGTCATTTGGAATAATGTCAAATACATCTTGTTCGCGAAGTGAGGTGACCGAGAGGTGGGGTGCGAGCGCCCCCCGCCCGGAGATGGGGTTCGGGACATAAACCCAATCCAGATGTTAAGTTGTAACTTTATCATTCTACATGTAGCTATTTTATACTTCCTTCATCCCACAAAACATTACTCATTTTGATGTATTTTTAGTCAAACAGTTAGACGCACGCTTTGACCATAAATTAAATATAATCTAAATAAAGAAATGTTATAAAAATTTGATATATCAAAACTAGATCCTAAGATGAATCTAATTATATTAAATTTATATTATAATTCAATATACTTTTCTCACAATTTGTAGTCAAAGCGTGTAACTGCTTGACCAAATACTATTCAAAATGGGCAATGTTTTGTGAGACGGAGGGAGTAGCATGTATTCTCTGTAAATGTACCTAGTCTGGAATCCTCGATATACAATATCATGTACCATGTTTAGACTGCACGCCACTCGCCAAACAAGCCATAGACATGCCTTATTTGAAAGCTCAACAAAATAACTCTTCACATGTGACTATGGGCAAATTTAGATTCTATCTTCTCTAGTTTTGATCAAATATCAGCTGGGAATTCTAATTTCGGAGCTTGTGCAGACAACTCTCCTAGTGGAACTCATATCGTACAGTGTCAATTGTGCTATTCACGGTGAATTTTGATTCCAATGTGTGTTTGGTTCACGTAATGCACATGTTTTGGTTCAATTTGCTGGAACTGGTGTTGTAATCAAATAGCACGCCCAACCAAACACAGCCTTAATATGTATTCACTTGCCTTTCTTGCGGCCTCGCTTTACTGCACACTCAGAACAGTACCATTTGCCCTTGGGCTGTTCTTTAAGGCCAACACAGCCATAGTGGAACCATTCTATCTTGCACTGTTAAACGGGGAAAAGAAGAAAAATAACTTGTTATGAGATCGTAACGGAAGCAGTGTCAGAAAATATATCATAAGCAATACGCAAAATCATCGGCAGCTAACATATACTAACATTAGGATTGTCGCACGCAACCATTTCACCATAGCTAACTTGGTTGCAGAAGCAATATGTTGGTTCATTTGGATCCACGGGTAGATCCAAATCCATACCCGTTGGGTTAACTGCTGGTGTTGTTGTTGTTGTTGTTGTTGTTGTTGCCAGACGAGTCCTGCACATATAAATCGTTAGGCATAATCTCTGTAGTGGCAAATCGTAAGAATATGTACATATTCTCACCCCGCAAGGATAAATGAAACTAAACCATTTCGATCAAATAGTGAGTACAAGAAAAATGGTAGAACAATAGCACAATCAACACAGATAGAGTAAACACAACACTAGACCCAAAGCACAAAAGGCACATATGCACACACGGTAGAACAATTGTACAATTTTATTTAATCAAGTTAAAACTCAGAACATTAAACAAGGGTGTATGGGCAAGAAGTCTATATTAAATGAAAAGAATTAACGCCATCTAGTGTCTAGGTTCTAGTTTCACCATCAATTCTTTGGAATTTAGTCCAAACTAGCTGTACCAAAGTTCAAGGATATTGCAGCCAAGGGATGGAGAGTAGTTATTTATTATGCTCAACAAATAGAGATGAGTTGGTAAAAAAATGTGTGGAAAGATATATAAGCGGCAACCTCTTTTTCAAAACCCCGCAAAGTTGAGTCTTCTTGAATAATGAATTTATGAACTTCCCCTTCTTTACACAAACATCAAGCTAGGTCGAACAACATATATATATGCCGGCAAGTTTATATTACAAAATGCAGTGCAAGAAATTCAAACACTCAACAAAAATATCCAAGATGTTAGAGAAAAATTTATATAAAAAAATGGAATGCCAAGTACTTTTTACGGCCTCCTTTGCTACTATCACCCGATCTTCCAGTTTTAACATTGCTGTCAATGGTCGACGTAGGTGGTTCTGTGGCTGCAGCATTATCTCTTTCTGCAACTGTCAAATTAAGATATGCATAGACAGAATGAAATATTTCTAATTTCTACTAGTACATTATTGAGGCAAAAAGCAATTGAAAATTAATCATGGGGAAATTTACCTCTACGAAGCTCCTCGTCGCATTTTTTCAGGTACTGGTCAAGCTGTTGAATATGAGTATCTACCTGTTGATTGAAACTTTCTAGTGAACTCATATAGATGCTATATGATAAATATTTTTTTCTAATATTTGACTTGCACAGACATAATATGCAGTGTTACATAACATAAGCACCACAGTGATGGAATATTCCCATATGATGCACTTGATGACATAAAAAATTCACATTAATCGAGACTTTATTTCTTGAAGCAAGAAAAACCATTGCAGCTCTTTTTATTTTCCCAATTTTTATCCAGAAAAAACTATACTTACACATCACATTGGAAAACATATCAATGTATCAGAGTTTATCAAAAGAAGAGCACACCAAACAAAATATACTACCAGAAAATCAAGCACTGAACCACAAAATATACACCAAGAAAGTCAAACATAACAAACAACAACAACAGCCCAGTTAAATCCCACAAGAGTAGGGTCTGGGGAGGGTGTGTGTACGTAGACCTTACCCCTACTCGAAAGTAGAGAGGCTGTTTCCAAAGAGACTCCCGGCTCAACGTCAAAAGTTGCATTGCTTGACTAACTGCTACTCCATTAATTAAAGAAGCGAAGCGCAGACAGTTTAGAGATCCATTTTGATCTATTCCATCACACCCCAAAGCCAAAAAATGGTGAAATTTTGGCTCCATCGGAGATGATGGAAAAAGAAAGTCAAACATAGAAACATCAAATTACTCCCTAGCATTTTATTTTCCCAGCATAAACCTTGATACAGTGATAGACTGCTACCTAATGATGCAAAATTGTGTCTTAATTCATAGTACAAGAGTAGATTCACATACTAGATCATAGGCCTGAATGGCTAAAGCAACTTTCTCATCAGCTATCCGGATAGCATGCTTTTGCTCATCCAGTGTATCATCTGAGAACTTAAGAAGGGAGGAATCTGACGTAATACCACCACTCTTGATACGCTGCTTCATATCCTCAATTTCCAGTTGACATCGCTCCTCAGTTTGCCGCTGGACTTCTGACAAGAATAAAACCCTTGCTTAACATGTGTGTGTAAATCATAATAAAGGAAAAGATGAAAAGCAACACAATTAAATGCAATACAACAACAACAAACTCAGTAAAATCCTACAAAAAGTATGATCTAAAGAGGGTGTGTTTACACAGACCTTACCTACTTGGAAGTAGAGAGACTGTTTCTAAGACTAAGAGACCCCCTGCTCAACTGAGGAGAAAAAAATTGAAGCATATACAACAACAACAACAACATTACCCCAGTGCCTCAAAGGCTCCCGCCCATTGCGGGGTAAGGGGCAACCTTTGGAAGGAAAAAAAATCAAATCACCAATAGGAAATTATTACAGTGCTGATTATAATAATAATAATAATAATAATAGGAGACTAATACTATTACTCCCTCCGTCCCAAATTTATCTTCACACTATTCACAAGGTCAAACTTTATTCACTTTCTTTGCTTATTTTCATTAGTCAATTGATAAAATAATATAGTCATGTCACCTCTAGTTTTGTAAAAACTTTTGATATAGTTTTTAAATATATATATATTTTATTTTAAAATTTTACGCCTATAATCAAATAATTTGAATTTAAATAAAGTAGGTCAAATCTCGTAAACTAAAACAAGAAGTTAATTTTAGGACAAAGGGAGTATTAAAGTTTACTAATTAATAATACTAAGGACTCCTAGCCAACCATGGGCCCATATTACATTAGTAATTAGATGCCTCAGATTAGCATATTGGCACATTATTCATCGCAAACAACAACCCCCAAATAATTGAGGTGCGCAATATGTTGCTGTCGCTCATGCCTTCTGCTCTCATCACCGGCACTCCATTCCATATAAAATATCCAGAAAACATTTCTTTCGGACATTATTTCTTCCTGAGACCTGAGATGCTAAGAATGAAGCCATAAAGCGCATAATTATAGAGCAAGACTTAACCAAGAAGAGATCCTTTGCAACCCTATAAGGTTATATTTTTTAGCAATCTTGGTCATATCTGCTTTTGTTTTTAATCTATAATAAGTTCTTTGATTCTTGTTAACTTATAAAGAAACACACCTCTAAAACTTCACATAGCTAGTAAGACTAATGGTCAATACTAGCATACTAGATGCTGCATAAACACAGCCCAACCAGACCAGAAAAGCATCATCCATTTTACAATAAAAAACAAACTCCATCAATCCAGCAAAACGTTCCGCATTGGAAGCAACACAGGCTTCATTTGCGAACAACATTTGTGATTAGCGCTAACGATTTTGATAATCTTTTAATGGTGCAAATTGACTTCGAAACTTGCTAACACTAAAAAACTACCGTTGGATAATATTTTCAAAATGCTGAAACTAAAAGTTAAGGTTAATGCCAAACAAAATGGAAAGGTGAAAATTGTGGGGTTGAGATAAAAAAAATATAAACCATAGATTTCCTTACTTGAAAGAAATGTTGAAATTTAATGCGGTACAGGGTAAGAGTCCGGTGTAAGTAGAAATTAGAATGAACTGCATAAGCGATATTATGATACGAAAAGAAAAGAAAATTACACAGGGCATGAATCACGACTGGTGTAAAATCATCATACCTTGTAAACTTTTGTCTAGATCGCGCATCAATGCATACTTCTTCTGTAACAGATTTGGTATTACTTCCAAATCTGTAAAAATGTGACCGACATAATATTAAATGCCAAGGAAATGCCACCCAGACAAAGTAGTTACACAATGGCAGGCCCAACACAACAGATGTTAGTACCTGCGCCCTGAAGGTCTAATGTAAGAATACACTAGTTATGTCGCTTAATTGTCTTTTTTTCATACTCTCTCGGTTCCAAAATAATAGTCCACATTTTGTTTGGGGCAAAATTTAAGAAAAGTGGAATTGTGTGGTTCAAAGTGATGACATAGGTTGTTGGGTTTCCTCCAAGTCCCACACCGGATGTGTAGGAGAAAATGAACCAAAATATATAGGTTCACCCAACCCCATTAGTATGAGGCCTTTTAGGAGGTGCCCAAAAACAAATCAGTGAGGGCTCAGAGTGGACAATATCATACTAATGCGGGGTTGGGGTGAGGGCACGCACAATCCCAACATGCGGGCATGACCAGCGGACTGTGTAGTGTAGAAAATCTCAGTGTGACGGTGCAACAATAGGACCAAGTCCAAGAAAGAGGATGGGGGTGCCTTGTGTCAAAAGTCTTCCCGGCAGGAGGAGGTTGGGCGGCGTGTCCCGTAAAGTTATAGCCACGGCGGTACAAGATGATTTGGCGGATCAAATGGTGTAGCCCAGCAAAGGAAATATCTGCGTTTCGAGCCTTGCATCGAAAGTCTTCCCGACATAGGAGGTCGGGCGGCGTGTCTCACAAAGAGTGTGTGGCGGTGCAAGATGGTTAGCAGATAAAGAGAAAAAAAGGGATTACCGCTAGAGGAGAGGTCGGAAGTTGTGTGGTCCTTGGTTGAGGGGAGGTTTGTTGGGTTTCCTCCAAGTCCCACACTGGATGTGTAGGAGTAAATGAACCAAAATATATAGGTTCACCCAACCCCATTAGTATGAGACCTTTTGGGAGGTGCCCAAAAACAAATCCGTGAGGGCTTAGCCCAGAGCGAACAATATCATACTAATGCGGGATTGGGGTGAGGGCACGCACAATCCCAACATAGGTGAGATAAAGAATATAAGCTACTGCAGCTTTTCAAAAAGTTGAAAGAGGACTCTTTTTTTGGGACGTCCTAGAAAAAAATGAGGACTATTATTTGGGAATATAATATATCTACTGATAGTGCTATTGGAAAATTTTGTGCTAAATATAAAGAGGTTTCAAAAAAATTTCCCTGAATTTTGAAACCTATTGGTGTCTAAAGGTCTTAGCCATAAAACAACTAAAGCATCTTCTGTTCATCCTTCTGGGCGTTAACAATGTCTTAGCTCAGTCCGTAATTCTTGGAGATGGATATTCTAAATTGGAAGCTGAGATATTAATTTCACAATCAGGGAGAAAAGTAGAACTGAGACATGCCTCTCAACTTCTTGTTTCCATAAAAAAGGCTAACATTTCATCCAAATTAATGTATACGTAATAATCATGAACACTTGGAGGGTTCAAAACTTCAAATACCGTATAGATTAAACATGATATCTCAATAAAGAGTTTATCTAGAGTAAACAGACATGGACATACATATACCTTAGCAATGTAAATAGAACATGAGCACACATACAAATAGGGAGAAATAAGGAGATAACAGAGGCATACTGGTTTCGAATTCGTCTATGAAAGACATCACTTCACCAAAGATTCTAACGATTTCCCAGATAATCCTTCTGAATGAGCTTCGTGGAACAAAGATGATACAATCTGGTTCAGAAAATGCTCGTTTGCAAGTACATGCAAGTTCCTGACCAAAAGAGAAGATACGCAAAAGGGAGATGAAAAACTGAAGGTCGTGAAGCATTTTCTCATTCAATATTTCTATTCCGAATTTCAGATATAATCTGCTTAAATTTAGTAAAAATGACTACTTAGGTAATTCTCTCTACTTTTCATTCCCTCTTCCCTTCTGAAATCCTATTGCACTAATCTTCTTAAGAAGATGATTCCAGTTAACCTAGAAAATCCCATCCAAAAAAATAGAAATTACAAAATTGCAAATTACATATTTCCATGAAGTCTACTTCTTCCAAAAAAAACGCAGAATATGATGAATAATCGGAACTTCCGAACTACGAAACAAAGAGAAGATCTCCAGAACGAAATTCCGACGAATTTCTATATTCATCACTTTTTCGGGACTCCAGATACAAAAGATAAACAAACGGACCCTTACCTTGGATCAGGTTATCAATAAGAACCGCCGGTTTCTCCGTTGTTTAAGTCCATGGTCTTTGAAGAAAATCTATCCGCCGCCGTGGAGCAGCCCCGGATGCCGTCCACACCGCAGTGCACCGATTCCCCTTCTGGCCGATCCAGTCGCGGGCTAATTTGGGGCTTTGTTGGGTAGACGGGTGACTTCACAAATAAAATAGTCACTCACCTAACAAACTTACTATGGAGTATTAGTTTGTGAATTTCAATAAAAAATATTAACTAATCTAAAATAATTTTAGAATTAGAATTTAAGTCATAAATAATAAGTTTATGATCACTTTATTTGAAAACCAAGCATTAATCAAATAATACTCCTCTGTGGCAAAATAAATGAAATTATTTTGAGACTTTGTTGTCATAAATCCTAGATTTTATTCCTATTTGAGTATTTGAGATGATTTTAGGTGGGGTGCAATGGTGGACTTCTGGTATACATGGGGGTTTGAGGGGAGTCTAGGAACGACTTTTGAATCGAGCATTATATTGTAGTGGTGTCAAATGAACGTAATATTACAGTATAATATTGAAATTTAATGTCAAAAGAATCATACATGGTGCTCGAATATTAACTTCATTTATCCATCTTCTTTGTCATTTAAGTTAGTCCTTGGTTAAGCTAACTATATATTATTGATTATGAAGTAATATTAAACGAAATTGTTGCACCTTAGATAGGAGTAAAACACAGAAAAAATATCAAGAGTATCATATTTTTATTCACTGAATAAGAATTTACATTGTAGTAATGTGTGTGTGACACTGTACATATATATTATACTATATTTTTTTGGTAACGTACAAAGTCGTGATTGTTAATGTGAATATATTTTAATTCCTATTTTGAGAATAAAATATAGAATTTCTAATTTAAGATATTTTAAATGTTTTACTCATACTTTCTTTTTGGCCATTATTAATACTAAAATAAGCATTGTAAGTTTTACTCCTTCCGATCTATTAAATTATATTCTTTATCCTTTCTTTTTAGATGTCTAAAAAAACCTTATAGGAGTATTTACTTTATTCCATAAATATTTTAGGAATTATGTCACTATCAATAATTTACTCTTCTCTAAACAAATTTTGATTACATATTTTTTATTTTTACACAACTTCCTTGAACTTGCTCGAGTTATATTATTAATAATTTTATAAAACACATACAAAGTACAATAATTTAATTTCACGCTAGGATATAAATTAAACTAGACCATCTCACTTCACATGTTATATCCCCTTCCTCTCTTCACATGGAAATGACATAAACGCAACTTTAACCGGTTTCACACACTGCACGCACTTGTATGTATTCTCTAAGATCTCATATTTGAAGAATAAACTCAATCATATATACTACGACACCCTATCTGAAAGCCTATCGGGAAATGACCAATCATATCAGAAGGCTATTTAAAACAACGAGCAAAAATATCCGTCGCCGATTCAGTCGTATTTTGTACTGAGACACGCATGCAAAATGTGAAAAAAGTAACTCTCCATTTTAGGCATAAAAGGAATAACACTTTTTCAATAATTCTCAATTGATTAAAATAAAAAAAAGCTATATATATATATATATGATCAATACTCAAAAACCAAACAACATTTTATTCATTTCAACCTAGTAAACAAACAATTTTATATTATTATTTTTCTACAAATAAAATGAAATTAAACTAAATAAATTGAAAAATGTTGAGATATCCAGTGTGGGTTTCGGGGTTTATAATGCTGTCACTTATCACAACTCCACCCGTTCATTGCAAAAAATATGTCACCGTCTCTCTCCTTCCCTGCAAGCTTTCCTCGCCGGAAAACCTCTCCGGCGCCGTCCCCTGCAAGGGAGGTGCGGTGGAAGGGGCAGAGTCATGTGCGGCGGCGGAGGAAACCCGTCGCTGGAGAGTTGTCATCCTTCATGATCGTGTGGATTCCAGTATAAATTGCACCACGTAAGTTTTTTCAAATGATTTCTTGATTTTAATCAGTTTTCTCTGTTTTATTATTAATTTACAAATTTTTTTATTCCATCGGCTGTTTTCGTAGTTTTAAAAACGAGAAAAAAAATAATGTACGTAACTCACTTATTCATTTTTTCTTTATTAAAAAGAAAATAATTGAATTTTTTATTTTGAAATGATAAAAAACAAGAAAAGAATAACAAAAATAAATTAAAAAGAAAAACAACTACACTGATTTAAAAAATTATTGATTTCTCCGTAGTTAGTATTTATTATTTATTGCAATATACGGAGTAGCTTTTATTAGATTAGCATAATTATAAACTCTCAAAGAGTTTCTTTTCAGTTCTCTACATCAATGCATTTGTTAAACCGACATGACTAGCTAGAAAGACGATCTTATTAGAGTTAGGTGTTTTCATCTCCTTATAAATATGTAGGTAACCTCATGTAGAATATCAATCAATAAACAATATCAAAACTCTAATCTCTTATTTCTCTCTTTTTCTTAAGAGCTCGAAAAGGCTCGAAATTCTCCCGTTTTTATTGTAACTAGTTGTTACACATTTGTCATCACTCCTCATAAATCTATCATTGTCAATGTTGGAGATTGAAGTTCTTGTTGTGTTTAATGAAATTTGGTTAAAGTTACTTTTAATTTAATACTGATCATCGATTTTGGACAGGTTGAAGGCTTTATATGGATGTGGTGTCAAAACAAATCTTCATAACGAGAAGGCCAAGATGTCGTCATTTAGGAACGCTAACGTTGCTAAGTTTAAGATTTTCAATCAATATACAAGTCACATATAATCAAATGTTAAAAATACAGATAAATTTGTAAAATATGTGTTTAATTATGTTTTATTTCAAAAGGATTTTTTAATGGCATGCGGCATAACAAGTGGGATAAATTATTGATGATTGTGATTAGTGACTAGTGAGCTATGGACGTATGGCGTGGTAATTATATTTTTTGAAGTTTATGGACATGTTTAGTAATAGCGTTAGAGATTAGTGTTGACGCTTCGAAAGACTATCTACGAGAGATTTTCAAAGTTAATTCTCACCATTAAATTTTTATTCAAAATGCTAATACTAATAAAAAAACGCTAGTTTAATTTTAGACAAATTTAAGTTGGGAAAAAAATATTTTCTATAATGTCTGAGCCCGGGTTCAAACCGGGAACCTTTAGTGTGTGAGACTAACTTGGTAACCAACTACACCACCCAGACCATTAATATTTTATTCATAATGCTAAACTAATAAAAACGCTAGTTTAATTTTAGACAAAATTTAAGTTGGGAAAAAAATATTTTTTGTAATGTCTGAGCCCGGGTTCGAACCGGGGACCTTTAGTGTGTGAGACTAGCGTGATAACCAACTACACCACCTAGACTTTTGCTCCTCGACTCACCATAAGGGAAGTGTTTCTAATAATTCTGATCTACATTAGTCCTATAATTCGGAGTATTTATGTTCATTTAATGTAGTTTCAAAATAGAATGATGGACGATAGCTCACTCTTAAACATGCTATGATTACTATCTTAATCTTATGTATTACTTTTCAAACGTTGTTGCATAACACAAAACTGATACGTGTTTATATTTTCATAAAGTTTTAATTTTTATGTGTCCATGTTCACTTTTAATCTTTACAGCTGATAAAATATTTTGATTTGCGCCATTTATTCCTAAAATTGCACGAATTCCTCTTGAACTTTAAGAATTGTGCCAATGCCTTCTGAATTTTTAAAAGTGTTGCATCAATATTTTTTTATGCCTGATTTACGTATAATTTTTAAAATTTGGAGTAAATCCGTATAGTTTTCAAAATATTCACCAATAAATGGTGCAAAAACTCATTTTGGATTTAGTGCGTATAACTTTTTTTTCAATCACCTTTCACTTAATTCATTACAACTTGTAAGTTCCAAAACCAAACAAATAAGTAGCACGGACTAAAACCAAAATGTTTTGCAAGATTTAGAGCACTAGAAAAGCGTTTGAAGTCTCGCACTTCAAACTTTTTCTCACCGCCATATCAGCTTTAACTCTCCTATAACTTACATCATAATTTCACTGGAAATAAGTTTAAAGTCTTGGGGTTTCAAACAGGTGCTTCAATTCTTCAAACATGAAACCTTTATTTTTTTAAATTTTTAATACACATATTGTAAAATTAAATTAATAAAGTTTCATTAATTAATTGAATTTCAATTACAATAAATCATTAAAAAAATTCATTCAATAAAAAAGGAACATTAAATTAAAAAAATTACATTAATAAGAAAACTAAGGCAAATTATATTTAGCCTTGATCTCATTTTGTCTTCTCTCGTAATACATACGTTTGAAGTCCGTTAACGTATCAAGATCGGTTTCCATTCTTTCGAGTTCTTCCTTCTCTGTCCTTTGTTTCTCCCTTTCTTCTTCCCTAATATTGAACAACCGCAGTTGTTCACCATTGCCCAGTTGATATCATCGTGAGAGAAAACAAAGTCGGACAATTGAGAACTCGAGACAATTGATTTTGTCTTCTTTCTTCCGACTGGTCGTGGAATGGGATCCTCGTCATCAAAGTCATCTAGGTTGAAGGGAGACCTTTGTTCTGACGAGCTGATATTGTAATCGGCGTCAACTTTGGCGGAGGATCTTTTCTTTGATGATCTGGCCTCGGGGTTGTTGTTGCCATTTCAGTGAACAGCTTAAAACTATCCACAACTCGACAGAGACTTTGCCTTGGTGTTTGTCGTCTTGATATCCACCGGTGGCTTGCCGCCGAACATCTTCATCATTCGTCCCGCTCTCCGGGGACCGAGAGTATTCCTCATAAACTCCTATAAACTTTCGAATTTTTTGTTGATGTGGTTCAATTTGGAAGTGAGTTTGTCTCAAATTTGGTAAGAGGTTGTTCATCGACGCAAAGAACTTCTCCTTGATACGATCTCACACCGCATCCTTCGTTTGATCAGAACCTTTAAGAAATATATAATTGAACAAAAAAATATATTTTAAGACAAATATATAAAAAAGAACATATATATTAAAAACATATAATTTTACCAACGATAGAATGCTCCAAGACGTCAACCCACGTGGACGCCAACAACACTTCCTCCTATGGTGTCTACTTTTGAATGGACAGTACCGCCTCGATCATCGACTTTCGGTTTGACTCTTCCGGCATGCACTTT